AGTCCTTACATCTATATCTATATCTTAATATGAAAGGATTGCCCCCTGCTGTGCAATAAAGCCAATACGGGCAAATCAATGCATTACTTGATTGTTATACCAGGCAGTCAGGCAGTTAGATCAAGCCAATATTGGTAATAAATAAATCCTTACGTGGTGGTAGTAATTGAAAATCCTTCGAGGACTATTATAGGATTATTGAATTAGTGTATAGGATTACAGGGAGTACATTTAAATGAAGTTGTTTATATGTCTAGGTGGTAGTACATATTTTTCACAGATTAGACCATTTAAAAAATAGTACTTATATATGGGATTCAAAACTTAATTTGTCAAATAATATATTTTAAAGAATGCCCATCAACAATGTTATAATGCTAGGAAAGTTATTTCAGAGGTGTACGCATCTTTTGTACTGCAGTGTACTGTCGTCTCTGGACGGTAATGTAAACACAAGACGGATGTCGAATCCTGACATGGGATCCATCTTTCACATAAAAAAATCAATGAAATATTCTGGTCATAAGAAACTATTATGTGAATTAACAAAATTATCAAAATAGGATGCTTTTAACCTCCTCGGATACTAAACAAACACTGATGCATCTATTTTTGTTTACACATTTCTCTCCACTCAGAGTTTCAATATGTACGCAGAGTATACGCAACTGCAATAAAGTTTCCTTGCATTACAACCTTGGCGCATGAGAGAAAATTTAATGCTCTTAACCTCCTCGGATACTAAACAAACAATAATGCATCTATTCTTTTTTACAAATTTCTCTCCGGCCAGAGAGAACTGGTTTCAATAAAGTTTCCTTGCATTATAACCTTGGCGCATCAGAGAAAATTTGTTATATGTCATAAGGATTTAGCAGATTTAAAAACTAATTCATGAATTGCAAATTGAAAATGACACTTTTGACGAAAGAGTTAGATTTTTTCCCTTTTTTAAATCTGGGATGAGGATGGAGAGGGAGGGGAGGATAAGTGGAATAGTGGTAGGGGAGGGGGGAAGAGGATGGCAAAATAATTCGGAGTGTAATATGGATGAGAGGATGTTTATGAGGCTTTACTAATATTTTTGCTTCATATTTTTGGTCTGGCTTTTAACCATTAATTTTTGGCAGCACTGTACGCATCCCGGGTGCTCCGAACCGACCCAACCCGTGTAGTTCAAGCATTGAACTATATATGGGAAATAGGTAACTAACAGTAGATGAATAGCATGCTACTCAACTAATAATAAAATACGAGTAAATTGTGAAAGGAATTGAGTCTTTGCCACAAATAATGATTTTCTAATCCTTATATATGTCGTGGACCTTAGCTATGTCAAAATATGGATTCTGTAGATCAAATAATCTAAGTTTGAAATATCTAAGGTTCACACAATCAGGTTTAAAATATATAGGTATTACAAAATTTGCGGTAAAGGCTAAATTTTTTTGCATGTTTTTTTAACGTGTGCACGACTTTATCTTGTACTCTTGTGCTAGCTTTCTTTTCTGTTTGTTGTGGAGTTTGTTATACACCGTACAGTATGCACAGCACACTGTACAGTGTACACTACAGGTTATAGAGTAAATTGACATTGTACATTTAATACAGTATGCTGTGAACTGTAAAGTTTAAACAATAAAATGTACAGTGTACAATTTACACAGTACACTGTACACTGTAGTATGTACTATAAGATTTACATAGTACGCTTTTAATATGGACATTGCACAGTGATATTTTTTTAATTCAAATTTAATCTAACAACTAATTAAAATTTTTTTTTTAAAATTTATTAATGTTCTTAAATGCACAGTACAGTGTACACTACAGAGTAAATAGTACACTGTACATTTCAAACAGAGAAATTTACACTGTACAATCTTCACAGTACACTGTACAATGTACTTGTAGTACTATAAGATTTACGTAGTACTTTTACACTGCACACTGCACAGTTATATTTTTTTAATTCACATTTAATCTAATAACTGATTCAAATTTTTATTTTTAAATTTATTAATGTACAGTGTACACTACAGAGTATTAAACAGAGAAGTGTACACTGTACAATCTACACAGTACACTGTACACAGTACTTGTAGTACTATAAGATTTACATAGTACTGCTTCTACACTGCACACTGCACGGCGATAATTCTTTTTAATTCACATTTAGATTCAATCCAACAAACATTTTTTAAAATCTAATGATGTTCTGAATAAATACTAGGGTAAAAATTAAGTGAAGATTTACTTTATTTTGTAATTTATCAAAAACTAGATTCATTTAGTAACAAATCAAAGTTTTTAACAAGGGAAAACTGCAAACACTATTTTTCTCATCTCTTTATATTTGCAACCGAAGGTCGTATATTTTTATATTGAAAACTATAGATTCTGATAGATCAAACAGCAAAATTTAAAAGACCATCAGGTTGCAAAGATATTAGAAAATTATAAATTCAATCAATTCCATTTTATAAGCGTAAACTATGAATCTATACAATATCTATTTATCTATCTATCTATATATCTATCTAATTATCTATCTATCTATCTATGACAGTTTATAAATAAGTATACAGAGAGACCCATAAAACTCTGGAATAGAAAGACGACTTTTAAACTTAAGTTATGATGTAAAATAGTCCAATGAACATGGAATTATTTACTGTACACAACTATATAACAACAACACAAAGTTCTCCGGTTTCATGGGTCGATATCACTTATTTTCTAGAACTATAAATTATTACACTAAGTTTATAATCTATATACAGATTTTATAATAAGTAGTAAACCTAAGCGTGCAACTTGGCTTCCTAGCTTTATATTACAGGCATATAAACTGGTTTTTCGCAATAATTTCCAGTTTCTGGGTTCATAAATGCACAGATCAAATTATACAGTTTAAGGGGAGCATGCAAAAAAAGTAAAAAATTTATTTTAATCAACATTTTTTAGTTTTACCTTTTTGTGGGTTTCCACAGGGGCTTCTATTCTATCACGTAATTTGCAAAACAATTTGCAAATACAATCTTTTTGTTCGCATTTTTGCAAAGATACACACTACTACTGGGAAAGGGTCGGGGGTTCAAATCTAACAATCTCAAACAATTTGCAGAATTATACTAGATTGTAACATATTTTATATGTTGTAACATATTTAATATGTTGTAACATATTTAATATATTGTAACATATTTAATATTGTAACATATTTTATATATTGTAACATATTTAATATATTGTAACATATTTTATATGTTGTAACATATTGTACTTTTTTAATGCCTAGTTCTAATAAAGTGATCACTAATTAACTTTTATTAGAACTTTATTTTTTTTTAAATATATTAATTAATAGAATTATTTGTTAATTAATGTGTTTTTTCATAATTCTAAATCTATCGCTGGTTGAGCATTAGTTGCATGATTAGTTCAATATCAAGAGAAAAAAATCTCTATTTCAAACTCAAATTTTCTAATCTCAATTCCTTCTTTGAAAATTAAACCATGTCTTTTCAGATGACACGAGTTCTACATCCAGTAAACCACCTCTCAGCTCTCAGAGCAGTAATCCCGGCTCCCGGAGCAATATTATCCCATCAGGATACAGATCATCCCGTCCCTTCTCCGGGTCTAGGGCCTGCTCAGCAGGTTCAAGAGCTTACTCCGCAGGTTCCGCTGGACAGGAGTCAGGTTTTCAATCCCGGAGCAGTCTTCTCTCTCTAGCTCCGTCCTTGCATAGTGGACCCATATCTACCCTAGGGGACAATCCTCTTGATATAGGTAAACCTTAAATCCCCTTTATCTCGTATTTTGACACATAGATCCAACCTGCCAACAGAAGTTGCATCAATTTTCAAGACTTGGTCGAATTTGAAATGACGCAACACCTTTAACTTTGATTTTTCCGTACTAACTTAGCTGTGATTTTTGTAGCCCTAGATATGCACATTTTATCAATATAAAGCACTTGCTTCTAGCTTCCGATTTAAAGAAGTAATTGGCAAATTTCTCGATATTTGCGTCAAAGCTTGCAAGCTTTAGGTCCTTTCTTTTAAATATTTGTTTGTATTAGATATAACTTGTCAACGTTTTAATTTATTCTCAGTTAATTCCTTTCATTTAAATTGTTTAGCAGTATACTGTTATATATATTTCTTCATTGTGTATTTATTTTTTCATTTGCCTGTAGTAAATGTGTGCATTTAATAGATATTTTGGTCTGGATCTAATTCTTATATATTCATTCGTATCCTGGGATAACTTGATATTTAGGTTTATTGCATTGCAAGTTATATTGACATAAGTTAGTCTAGTCTAGTCAAGTCTAATCCTAGAAAATGTCAATTTGTTTAAAATAAAAATAAAACTCTGTTTAACCTTATTTATCAAAATACTTCTATAAATCTTGAAATTTTATATCATTTAGTTCGTTATCAAAGCTTGAAAATTATCCTTCAAAAACTTAATGATCAAACTTTTTATCTAACATGATCTATCTTGACTATATATCTCTGTTTATATATCTATTTATCTATCTATCTATATATCTATCTACTTATCTATCTATCTATCTATCTATCAATCTATCTATCTATCTATATCTATCCATCTATCTATCTATCCTTCCATCAATCTATCTTTCTATCTATCTATTTAGACTGCTATATGTTTATCCATCCATCTATCTATCTATCTGTCTATCTATCTATCTATCTATCTATCTATCTATCTATCTATCTATCTATCCTTCCATCAATCTATCTTTCTATCTATCTATTTAGACTGCTATATGTTTATCTATCTATCTATCTATCTATCTATCTATCTATCTATCTATCTATCTATCTATCTATCTATCCCTCTATCTATCTATCTTTCCTTCTATCTATCCATCTATCTATCTAGACTATCTAAGCGGAGTTGAGACTGATACTGAATCCTTAGCCTCTTTGTCCTCCAACCTCTCCCTCCAGGCTCCTATTGGAGGTCAAGGTAGACTAGGAGGCCGAAGGTACTCTCTCTCCCGTCTATCCGGAGAGGATCGAGGGAGTAAGGTTAGCCTTTTGCGCCGGTCAGCGCGTGTTCCTGGGCGTAGAGATGTTGCTCCTGAAACAAGAAATCCAGGTAAAAGTTTTGAACACAATTTATGCATAAAAATATTTTAATGTTTTGCCCTGAATTCTTATAACTCTTCTAACCCAACTCCCCCCCTTCGCACTCCTGAAAAGAGCAACTTTTCGGGATTACACTTTTCAAGGTTAAATTAGGCTGAGAGAGATAGGCATAGAAATTAATACAATTAGAAATGATTCCTGAAATCAGTATTTAATAAGCGGAAATGTTTGTTTCTACTTCTTGCCATGTAATAAATTTGGTCCCAAAGAGTCTCTAAAAAAAGTTATAATCCTGGATCAACAGTTCGGACACTTTTTTTATCGTCAAAGGTTGTCTTATTGCACATTTAATAATAAATTATCTGTTTTGTTTACTAATATCTAATATTTTATTTCAGTTCCGTTCCTACAGTACCGTCCAGTCCAATGGTTTCTCAAACCTCTGTACTTTGAGGAAAATAATCATCATTAAAATTTTATGAAAAATTTGCTAAAAAAAATTTATGACAAATTTTATGAAAAATTTTATGAAAAAATTTATAAAAAAAATTATAAAAAAATTGCATCCATTTCGGAGACTAGGTCGCAACACCTTACTTTTGACTTTTACCTCGTTTACTCACTTATACTTTTTTAAAGTCATAAAGAACATAAAGATAATAAATCTGCAAGAGACCCCAAGGTGGACTCCCCAGACCGCCGCCAGGTGTGGAAAGAACCATCCCATACCCGTTCCAACGCCGGACTTTTAACCCCCCACTAGCTTTTCATAGTTATTATACAATTTTAGCGTATTGAACGAAAAAAGGTACACTTTTGTACCAGGCGCTGTATATCACACTTTTTTAACTCACCCTGTATATACCACAAAAACCACAAAAGGAATTGAGTCTTTGCTACAAACTCTAGTTTTCTAATCCCTATATTTCTGCAACCTAATGTCGTAGACTTTATAAATTGCAAACTTTAAAATTTGTTAGATCAAATTTTATGAATTTCAAATATCAAATGGGTAAAACTAAACCCTATTCAAGCTGGGGGGGGGGCCTATGTTATTTTTATATTGCTTAAAAAAATTTGAGTTTCGGGCAAAAGCTTCTATTAAAGATTGAAAACCATGTTAAAAATGATGGATTGTGAAGGTTCCCCAACGCGAAGCTTCCCCTGTATTTGTGGGTCGAGACTGGGTCTTCAGGGAGATCCAGGAGCAGTTCAATTCTTCTCTTCCCACCAATAGAGGGATACTTATCTCAGGTCAGGGTTTGATATAATCTGGTATAAAATTAGACCAACAGTTTACCTCGACATACCTACAGTTGTTAATCTGGTATAAACTAGATGTACAGTTTACCTTGACATACCTAGAGTTGTTAATCTGGTATAAAACTAGATGAACAGTTTACCTCGACATACCTAGAGTTGTTAATCTGGTATAAACTAGATGAACAGTTTACCTTGACATAACTAGAGTTGTTAATCTGGTTTAAAACTAGATGTACAGTTTACCTCGACATACCTAGAGTTGTTAATCTGGTATAAACTAGATGAACAGTTTACCTTGACATAACTAGAGTTGTTAATCTGGTTTAAAACTAGATGAACAGTTTACCTTGACATACCTAGAGTTGTTAATCTGGTATAAAACTAGATGACCAGTTTACCTTGACATACCTAGAGTATTAAACATATTAAAGAGGAAGTTAAAAATTAAATTTTTTACTTTTCCTATTTAGGATCCCCTGGAACTGGAAAGACTGGAATTATTCTGAATCTTGTTGAACGAAGCAGTTTTGGACATGGAGAACCCCTCGGGAAAGGTAAATATTTATATATATATATATATATATATATATATATATATATATATATATATATACAGAAAGGGCATGAAATAGATAATTCATAGACATAGGACATGAAATATAATGTTCAGAGATATTACAGAAAATACAGAAAGGACATGAAATGTGATATCTAAAATAATCCAGAAAGTATCTAGGAAGTTTAGGAAATGTGATATTTAGAAATAACCCAGATAAAGCATAAAATGTTTTATTGAGAGGTTTTACAGAATTTGGACATAATATGCATAAGATAAAATGTTAAAATTTCGGAGGTTACATGTATCGTATTCGTAGACGTAGAATAAAGATGTTTTGAACCGAATGAAAAATAAAGCTTAAATAAGTATTTCGTACAAAATTAGTATTTTTATACAAATTCCTAGAAAAAGACTTTCAAAACACATAATTTTTTTATTTGTTTATCTAGTTGTGATAATATTATATCATTGTAAAACAATTTGTCGCAAATAAGCAAAATAAAGATTGGTTAGCAGCAATTATTTAATTGCTAAAACTGAGGAAAAAGGTAGACGACATTTAAGAAACCTTATGTAATGTGTATTAATGGTGTTAAAAAAGTTAATGTTTTTTTACCAGTATGTTCGAAATTCAATTTATTGAGTGAAATGGGTCTGAGTACACTGCATAATTGTTTTGTTTCCTGTTCATTGGATTTTGAAATCATAACTTTAGTCTTACAGTCGTCTTCCTATTCTACTTGTTTTTGGGGTCCAACTACAGCTTTCCTTTTATTATTATTCATTTATGTATTAACTATTATTGAATATTTATTTATTAGAACTATTTATTATTTATCTAAATCTGTATTTTTTCTAGAGCCGGTTTATTCTCGAATTGGGAGCAATCTTGGAAGTTCCCAGCAAAACTTAAACCCTCAACCGATCTATTCCCAATCTATATATTCCCAGCCCAATCCCTACTCTAGCAGTCAGCCATCCAACCAACCTTCCTTGGCTAGCCAAGTAGTAGCTTACCATTTCTGTCAGGTTAGTTTATAGTTCCTTATAAAGATCGGGATTAAATTCAGTTTAAAAAAGAAATTTATTTTAAAGATACCTGGGGCTCATTGTGTATGGTGTCCTCCATCTAGAAATAAATTAAGCTTTACAATATTGTTAATTATTAAACTTATTTTTACACGCAAATATAAATTAGTATAAAATGGTGCATTTATAATTTCTTTACCCGCTACCAATTTTTCCTTCGCACAAAGTTTAAACAAATATAATTTTTCAACTGATTTTTATGTATTGAGCTGGTGGATAGCCTGATCTTTATATCTTGTGTTGAGGGATGAACTGATTTTTTATATAGACTGATTTTCTAAAGAAAAGCCTGAATTTTATTGTTATTGTTTAATTTAGATTGACAATGCTGTGACATGTCAGATAGCGGAGTGGATTCATTCCTTAGCTGCTCAGCTTTCCCAGGTATACTTTATTTATTCATTCATTCTTTTTTTCATCCTTTGATCCTTTCCATAGCTGCTCAGCTCTCCCAGGTATACTTTATTTATTCATTCATTCTTTTTTTTTCATCCTTTAATCCTTTCCTTAGCTGCTAAGCTTTCCCAGGTATACTTTATTTATTCAATCATTCTTTCATTCATCCTTTATCTGCTCAGCTTTCTCTGGTAAAATTTTTTTATTCTATTCATTCATTCATCCTCACATTCATCCTTTAATCCTTTCTTTAGCTGCTCAGCTTTCTCGGGCTATTCTTTATTCATTCTTTCATTCTTTAGCTGCTCAGCTATCTCAGTTATACTTCATTCGTCCTTTCATTCTTTCATTGATCCTTTTATCCTTCATTCTTGGATTTATTCAATGGTTCATTTATTTTTTATTTATTTTATCAATTATCCTTCCTTTCATCCTTTCATTGATTTATTTATTCATTAATTGATTCATTAATCTATTTATTGATTCTTTGATATATTTATTGATTAATAGATTTATTTATTTTTTCATTAATTTATTTATCCTTTCATGAGTTCATTCTATGTATCTATGTATATATCTATCTATATCTATCTATCTATCTATCTATCTATCTATTTATCTATCTATCTATCTATATCTATCTATCTAGGCTCCTCAGCTAGAGAGTTATCATAGCCTGCTATCTACTGAACATGATCTACGAGCTAAACTCTCCCTAACTCATTGTCTTAGTCATCCTGACTCTGCTCTTACCCAGGTATACTACTATACCCAGGTATACTACTATACCCAGGTATACTACTATACCCAGGTATACTACTATACCCAGGTATACTACTATACACAGGTATACTACTATACCCAGGTATATTACTATACACAGAAAGGAATTGAGTCTTTGTCACAAGCTTTTATATTCTAATCCCTATCTATATATAAATTTGGCTTGTCTGTCTGTCTGTTTGTCTGTTTGTTTGTTTGTTTGTTTGTATCCAATAAACGTCAAAACGGCTGAACCGATCGGGCCCAAATTTTTTGTGGGACATCTAGGGACCCCAGGGAAGGTTTATGAAAAATCAAAATTTCAAATATTTGTCTCCATCAAAATTCGATCGTCATTAAATTTTTAAAAATTTTGAAAATCCGCGAAATTTTTTGTGAAAATCCGCGAATTATTTTTGTTTTGTTTTACGATGTACACAAAGAGAACATGTTCACAACTAATTTAGAAGATGGGCGCGAAGCGCCCTCTAAGGCTAGAAAGAAGGGCGCGAAGCGCCTCGAATTTCTAGTATCTTTACAATTCAATATCGTAGACCTTAGTTATTTCAAACATATAATCTAAATTTGAAATATCAAAGGTTTACGCCATCAGGTTGCAAAGATATAGGTGTGATAAAATTAGAGTATGTACCATCTTAAGATGAAGGGTCATCGATAACGTGGATCTACCTATGAATTTTAAATACAACATTCAAATCTGGAAAAGTAAAAACATTTCAAAACTCTGTTCTGTTAAGTTTGCTTTGTTTTAATAAATTATGTTCGGGTTTTCCTGATATCTTCTCTTGAGATAAAGTTTTAGCAAGGTGATAAAAGCAAATGATTTGAGGACGACCTCCATTTATATAGTTTTATGGGTCTTACTGTTTCAAAGCTAATGATCTAGCTCAGAAACAATAATAATAATAATAATAATAATAATAATAATAATAATAGTCAGTAAATATTTGCACATATTTATGATTTGATTGATTTATGATGAATATTGTTTTTGTGTTTTATTAAAATCGTGTTTATAAGGAGTTTGTACTATGTTCAATGTACAGGGTGTCTCAATATAAGGGGTTTGTACTATGTTCAATGTGCAGGGTGTCTCAATAAAGAAAGGCATTGAGGGAAATATTTTTTAGATAAAATACTTCATCAACATTAACATTAACATTAACATTAACATTAATATTAATATTAATAACTTTTTTTCTGGAATTAACAGAAATTATTTTTCTGTTATTCAAACGAAATTTTAATTTGGACACCCTGTATTTCAGATTTTACACCCAGTGTGTAACACAATCCTTTCAAAACTTTCTTTTGTATCTTTGTTTAACACTCTTCAATATTTTATAAATATATTTTATTATCTAGTTTATTATTAAGTTTATTATTAATCAAATTTTACGAAATTATAAACAAAATGTTATGCAGGTGTTTCAAATATAATATTCATGTTATTCCTCTAAATGCGTTTAACATATTTTTTATAAATCTGCATGAAGTTCTATAGTGTTAAGAACCCTCTTTGAAGATATAAATTCTGCTATGGGGTTTCCTCACAAAGAAATTGATTGAGTCTTTGCAACAAACTCAAATTTTCCAATTACACTTTCAACCGTATTTTAGGGTATCCTGGCCCCCCTGGTTTCTCTTCAGAAGTCTGGCAAGCTTCCTGCTACAAACTGCATCATCCTTATTGATGCACTCTGTGATGCTGAGTTCCATAGACCAGATTACGGAAACACGCTGACCGGCTTTATAGCTCGTCATCTACCATCATTTCCTACCTGGCTTAAGATTATCTGTACTATCAGAACAGCGAGTAAACAGGCAGCAGCCAGCCTTCCCTTTCATCATATAAGGTTGGTCAATTTTACCCTTTCATCATATAAGGTTAATCAATTTTACCCTTTCATCATTTAAGGTTGATCAGTTTTACCCTTTCATCATATAAGGTTGGTCAATTTTACCCTTTCATCATATATAGTTGATCAATTTTACCTTTTCATCATTTAAGGTTAATCAATTTTACCCTTTCATCATTTAAGGTTGATAAATTTTACCCTTTTGTCATTTAAGGTTGATCAATTTTACTTTTTCATCACATCAGGTTGGTCCACTTACCCTTTCATCAAACAAGGTTGGTTAAATTTACCCTTTCATCATATAAAGTTTGTTAATTTCAACCTTTCATCATATAAGGTTAGTCAATTTTACCCTTTCATCATAAAATGTTGTTTAATTTAACCTTTCATCATAAAATGTTGTTTAATTTTACCCTTTCATCATAAAAGGTTAGTTAATTTTACCCTTTTATTTTCTTCTTATATTCTTTTCTTATATACATTTTTTTGAAAAACACTGTCTGTACTTCTGTACTGATTTGTTCATGTTTATTCTAGGCCACAGTGTAAGCTTATTAATATCCAGCTTAGTTGAATATACATTACCTGTAACCTTTTCTTTTTGACAATTTTCATATGGAGGAGGGGGGGGGGGGTCTGGGACAGTAAGTCCTCAAAAAGTGTGGGAAAAAAGATTCAAGAGAGAGAGAGAGAGAGCATGCGATAATTGAATTAAGAGCATTTGATTTACAAGGAATCGATTCCCACATTGTTAAGAACGAATCTCAGCTTTATTTTTTAACCCTTGTATAGTGAAAGTAAAATTTAAACATTTTTATAAAAAAAAATTACAATTTTCTTAAATGAAGCTGATATTGGTATTAGTGAGATTTGAAAATGTTTAGGAAAACTTGTCAACTGTTATTTTTGTTTCAAAATAAAATTTTATTTTTTGTTTTCAGTAAGAAATTCAGATAAAGGTTGATAAACTCAGATACAGTTTGATAAACTCAGATAAAGGTTGATAAACTCAGATAAAGGTTGATAAACTCTGAAAAAGGTTGATAAACTCTGAAAAAGGTTGATAAACTCAGATAAAGGTTAATAAACTCAGATAAAGGTTGATACACAAAGATAAAGGTTGATAAACTCAGATAAAGGTTGAAAACTCAGATAAAAGTTGATAAACTCAGCAGAAGGTTGTTAAACGTATATCAAGGTTGATGAACTGAAATTTCTGTTTATTAAAATTGAAAATGATGACACGTGCCTTGAGCTACCTTATTTTCATGCTAGATACAATTCTGATATTCAGGCCTTATCTCTCCCCCCTCACTCAACTAGACGTAAACCTATTTATTTTGAATTTAAACCTGTCTCTTTGTTTTTACAGACCTTAATATCTAATCAAATAGCCCTGTATATTATACAGTGGGACTTATAAAACTGAGGGAAAGTAAGACGACTTTTAATCTATTTAATTTGTATTTTATTCGGTTGAACATAAAATAAAGGAAATGAGTTTTTGCAACTATCTTACATTTTCTAACCCCAATATCTTTGCAACCTGATGGTGTAAACCTTTGATTCGACTATTTGATCTGCCAGAATTAATAGTTTGAAATATCAAAGGTATAGGAAAACGGGTTTGCTGAGTTATAGGAATTAGAAAATCTGAGTTTGTGGCAAAAACTCAATTCCTTTACCAGTAGCTTAAAGCAACTTATTTCTAAAGTGAAACGGATCTGTGAACAGTGTACACATAGGAAAGAACTTAGTTCGTTACCAACCTTGACATTTGTAAAACTTTTCAGAATTTTGTGCAACTTTTAAAAGTCCAAAAAAGTTATTTCCATCACAAAATACACTAAACACAAATGTTCACTGGACTATCTAAAAATAGCATTTGTCTGCATAGGCCATAGTTGTATGGGTTCTCCTGTTTATATTTATAGTGGGAAAAATGTCTGCGACATCAAATTGTCAAGATTAGGATTAGACTTTGAGTTAAGTGTTAGAAAGCTTGAAAAAAGACACAATTGTTAATTAAAAACTATATTCTAAAAGTAGATATAATAAAATGATCTTGTCCCATCTATTTCTATAATAAATGAACCATGATTGAATAAAACAAATTAATGTTGTCTACATAAAATGAATATAAATGGTATGCTTGGCTTTATTAGGCCCTGGATAAAAAACTAACCCTGGGCCGGGGTTAAATCTCAAGAATGTTTTCTTCAGCCTGTCAATCCTTAACTAGAGACAGCTGATTTTCTTTACCTTTATCTTGACATATTCCCGCCAAAATTATCCTTCTATAAAACATCCTATGTCTAATTATATTTATATAGTTAGCCATATATTAAGTCGGCCTCATTAAACCGAACAAATTAGACTTGATGGCACAAAACACCCTGGGTTAGACTTATTAAAATAAAATTCTCTATCCCTGAAACTGACAAGAGGAGGGGGGGGGGGGGGGTCATTCAGCGTTTCTAAAAGGGGCTGTCCACGTAATTTCAAGTAATATTCTAAATTATAAAAAAAGTGGGATATGTCCGATTTACAAAGGTGTCCTTTAGATAATTGTCTGAGCAAAAACGTTGAAGATATTCTTGTTTTTTTTCCTAACCAAAAAATGATTTAAGCGTAAGAGAGAGAGAAAGAATGACATCAACAGAATTCAACACTTTCTAAAAAGGAAGAACGGGGGCTTGTCAGAGAAAGATTTAAAAGACACCGATGTGAATCAAGCATGCGAATCTTGAATAAACGGTCACGTAAAAACCGTCTACAGTCCCTTTAAAGAGATAAATCTGGTGACATTAGTTGCAATCATACATTTAAGATAGGAGTGTACACTAATAGGTTCAAGGATAAGACTGGACAGAACTTCAGTTAATAGTTGAGGCCTGTGCAAACTAAAAAATAGTTAATAGTTGAGACCTGTAAACTAGAAAATAGTTAATAGTTGAGACCTGTAAACTAGAAAATAGTTAATAGTTGAGACCTGTGTAAACTAGAAAATAGTTAATAGTTGAGACCTGTAAACCAGAAAATAGTTAATAGTTGAGACCTGTAAACCAGAAAATAGTTAATAGTTGAGACCTGTGTAAACTAGATAATAGTTAATAGTTGAGACCTGTGTAAACTAGAAAATAGTTAAAAGTGGAGACCTGTGTAAACTAGAAAATAGTTTATAGTTGAGACCTGTGTAAACTAGAAAATAGTTAATAGTTGAGACCTGTAAACTAGAAAATAGTTAATAGTTGAGACCTGTGTAAACTAGAAAATAGTTAATAGTTGCAAACCAGAAAATAACAGGTTAAAAAAGTAATAAATTGAAAGTAACAAGATGCGTTAAAGAATAAATTAATGAAAACGTTTGAATGCAAATTAAGTGTTGTTGTAATTTCAAGTAACCCTCTCTGATAAATAATGTGAAAGCTGTAGAATATGTTCAATTCTGACATTCCCTCAATTGTTTCTGATGCAAAACAATCTCAAGTCACTTTTATGAAGAAGAGATATCTCATTTATGAATGTAACTGCAATGGCACTTATTTAAGCCACTGCACCAGTGACCAGAACCTTGCGGCTCTCAACTCAAATTTGAAGAAAATTGAGAATCAATTTTTTAACAATTTTAAAGCCTGAACCTAATCAGTATTGAGTTACAACCTGATATCTAATCTTAATCCGAGACGAAATTTTTTATCTTTTCCTTTTCAAGGGAAGAAACATGAGTTCTGTCAAACCTTAATTTTGTTCTTGTCAACCAGGGGAATGTTCTTGATTTTCTTAATTACTAAATGTCAGGAAACAAAAATATTCTTTCTTTTTAATATATTCCATCCACAGCTAATGTGGAAGGGATGAAGCAACTAATTATATTTAAGTAGACTAGACTAGTAGAGCGTGATCAATCTTTCAGATTTTTCTCTTCGATAAAACAAAAATATTTTTTTTGCGTATTGACAATTTTGTTTCGTGGATTTATAAAATATTTCGAAAATCTAAAATTTTTGGAGACAATCTTTGGGTACTTTCGGTTCAACCGTTTTGACGTTTATTGGATACAAACGGTCAAATAAACAATCACCCAGACATCCAAGCAAAGTATACATATAATTATATAAAAAGGGACGTTCTTAAATTATTTATATCTATAAAATATGGTCTCATTCATTTATTTTTCTAATTAATGTTTCTGTATTTCAGTTTGGATAACTATGACGTGGATGAGAGACTGCAGAAGGATATCTCTGATTATATTGGGATGAGAATATCCAAGAGTAGGAATATTCAAACCAACATAACGCCCTCCAAACTGTCTCGGATGACGGATGAGAATCCTCAAACAAGGTTCCAGAATCACCTTGTCTCATCTGCTAAGGGTTCATTTCTGTTTGTCAAACTGCTCCTTGATCTGATAGAGAAGGGCAGTGTTACCATCAAGTCCACCAGCTTTAACGTGCTACCTGAGACCTTGTCCCAAATCTTTCTACTGGAGTTCAATCTTAGATTTCCCACCACACACAGCTTCAAACAGGTTAATTAAACCAAGCCAAACCAAACTATCTCAACAAAGCTCAAACAAACTGAGCTCAACCTAACTTAACTGAACCAAAACAAACAAAACTGAACTCAACGAAATCAAGACGAACCGAACTCAACCAAACTCAATCGAACTTTACCAAGCATTTCCAAACTTAACTTAAATCAACTGAACTGAACTGAACTGAACTGAACTGAACTGAACTGAACTGAACTGAACTGAACTGAACTGAACTGAACTGAACTGAACTGAATTGAACTGAACTGAACTGAATTAAATTGAACTGAACTGAATTAAATAGTATATTAAATAATTAAGATTACTTCTAGGTGTCTGATATTTTGAGTGTGTGTTTGTCAAGTTTGCAACCGTTAACCCTACCCCAGCTCTTCCTAGCTGTCAACTCAATATATATAGATGCAGAAATATCTTGGGAGGACTTTCTTGCCAGGTAGAAGAATAAATTTATACACTCTTAAAGGGATTGTAGATGTGATGTAACCCTCCATTAATATAGTGGCATGTCTGATTCATTAAAGTACCCTTTAAAAATCTGCCGTATCAAAGATGAATAAGATTTTTTTATCTCGGAAAGTGTTTTTTTTTTAAATTAGGGGTTCTCTGTAAAGTGACTTTTGTATTTATGCTACAAAAACACTAAAGGAAATTGTCATTGTTACTGAGATTGGTGTGTCAAGGTACCATTGTGAATCAAACATGGAGGGTCACTTGAGATTACGTCTACAAAACAATGTAAAAAAACTATGTTCTTGAGATCCATATTTAATAGAATTCGTGAAGAATAATATTATCTATTATTTAGATACTCCTTGATCTCAGACCTGGTAGTTAAGAGAAGGGATGAGTCCGTCTGCTTCTTCCACCCCTTGTTGAGGGAGTGGTTGATGAGGCGGGGGGAGAAGGAGTCGATCAAGTTTATCTGTGATCCTAGGATAGGACACACAGCTCTCTCCCTAGAGATGTGTAGGACGGATCAATCCTTGACTCCGGAGCTGACTCTAGACCTTACTCATCATATCCTTAAATCAAATATCTACAGGAACACTTTTTATTCAAATATCTTTTTTCACCCCCATTTTTTCATCACCCAACCCAGCTCCTATACTTAACACGTGGCCTTTTAAAATTAAATGTTTTAAGACATGAAAACATAAATATTTTGAAGTTTGTTGAAAAAGTATCAATGTTTGAAAAATATTGTTTTAAATGTCCAAGCCGTTCACGCTTAATGGGTTTAATGGACACACCATTTATTTTGTTTTGTTGATTCAAGATATTCAACTTTTTTTCTAGAAAATTGTTTAATTATTCCCAGCAGTGTTGTCAGTTTGAAGAAAGAACCAATTGCCTGCGGAGTCCCTTTTTTACCCCCCCCCCTTCCCTTACTTATTTCCCCCTTCCCTATCCACCTTCCCCCTAACACCCTACTTTCCCTTTAATATCTAACCTCCCCTTCCCCTCTCTATCCTACTTTCTCTCCCCACATCCCCATCCCTTTTGTATACATTTACACCCCCCCCCCCCATTTCATTTTAGTTTTTATCCTCTCAGTTTTCCTTTTCATTCAATTTCTTTTTATTTGATAATTCTTTCTGGATGTTAACATTTTAGTATATGTAAATTGAATTGAATATTTATTAATTCTATGATTTGGGTTTAAAGTTTAAACTGTAAAATTAAATGTCTACCACTTGTAGAGTTCTGTGATTTATACCTTGTAAAAACACCTGTACTGGATTTAATATCCTATTGTAATGCTTTAAAGAAACTTAACTAAACCTTTTTAAGATTCTTCACACTTTGTTATTTCAACATCAACAGAAGAAAATTCCCCCCCCCCCTCCCACTCCACATCCCTTCTGTCCATCAAAAATGTATTTTCAAATACTTCCATGAATAAAGTTAAAATAAAGTTGGTTAAAAATGTGTATGTCTACAGGAATAAAGATACTGGAATACCAACTAGAGATCTTTTGGCCTCCTGGATATCTCTGTTCTCCGACGATATCTCCCTGGCTCTGGGAGCTGAGAGAAATCTCTTCAATCCTAATATTAACCTCTCCAAGCTTCTTCTCCTCTCCGGAGCTAATCCGAACCAGAGCACGACCTATCTCAACAATGCCCCTCTACTCTGTGTGTTTACTAAGCGAGGATATGTAGAGATGGTTTCACTCCTTCTAGAGTTTGGGGCTGATGTCAACGCAACCAATTCACAAGGATTCAGTTCAATATCATTTGCTTGCATGGAGGGAAACATGGAGTGTCTTAGAGTTTTAGTGGAAGGTGGGGCTAAGATCTCCCAGATAGATAAAACTGAGAGCTGTGCCCTAGTGCATGCAGCTAGAAACGGTCATCTTCCAATCCTAGAATACCTTCTGTCCCTAGATTGGAACTCTTCCTGTCCCAAGGATGCTACCCTATCAGAGGTCGCACAGCAGGCAGCAGTTGCAGCAGCTTCTGCAGGAAACCTCAGTATCCTGGAGTTCCTACTGGATATGAGGGAGGTCAAGGTCAACAACGCTGACACCCTGCTGGGAGAGACACTCCTCGGAGCAGCTGCAGCCGCAGGTAGACGAGACTGCTGCCAGGCTTTGATCAAGAGAGGAGCAAGTCTAATCTCAACTAACCTTAAGGAAGCAGCACCTCTGCATATGGCTGCTAGGGAAGGACATTGGTCTGTTTGTGAGCTTCTACTCTCAGAAGGAGCCAATCTAGAGCAAAAGGATGTGACTGGAAAGACACCATTAATTCTTGCAGCTATGGAGGGACATCTGGGTGTTGTGGAACACTTTGTCATGAAGAAGGCGAATATTGAGGTTCAGGACAAGGACGGGTTGACCCCTCTGATTTGGGCGTGTGCAAAGGGCAAACTTCAAGCAGTAAGGTTCTTGTTAGCTCAGGGTGCTGATATTAACTCTGTAGATAAGAAAGGACGGACTGCTCTAGATCTTGCAGGCTTCCAAGGGGATCCTGATGTAGTCACTTTGCTCCTAGATCATGGAGCAATGATGGAGCATGTGGATATAAATGGAATGAGGGCACTTGACAGAGCAATTGGATGTGGAAATTTTGCTGCGGTCAAATGTTTTCTGAAAAAAGGCGCGAAACTTGGGCCAAACACGTGGACGATGGCAGCAGGCAAACCAGAAATACTGTAAGTTTTTTATTTTATATTCTTCAAGCTAGATTAGGTTGTTCATATCTTACTCTGTGGGGGGCTGTAAATAAGATCTTCATAAATTACTTTCATTCTTAATCTTCTTCTTGCAATGCATGTATAAACATTCTTACATCACTTTTAACTGTAAGCACACACTTGTACCTCCCCCCCCCCTCCCCCACCGCCCATTTTCTAAAAGTTTAATCTAATTTTTGTTCTTTTTGAGAATTTCCCTAAAGAAAACACTAGTTTTGCTTACAGAACACGGATTATTTACATTTTCATCTATGTTTGTTTACAATTGTATATTTCAGGTTGTGTTTACTAAACAAACTGTTGGAAGACGGAAACACTCTGTATAAGAGGAATAAACTTAGTGACGCAGCTATACGGTATTCCTACGCATACAAGCGTATACCATCCGATCAAGAGAAACTTCAGAAAGTATTTGATCAGCTAAAGATCCATTTACTCCTCAACCTCTCTAGATGTAAGCGTAAGATGAAGGAGTACAGAGAGGCTGTAGAACACGCTTCAGAGGTCATTCAAACCTTTCCTCACGTTTTCGAGGCGTATCATACACGTGCTAAAGCGTACCACAGTGACGGTAAGCTTGACGCAGCCTACTCCGATATGACGCAAGCTGTGCGTCTAGCTCCACAAAACCGTGAGCTCCATAGGAACCTCCTGAGTATCAAAGAGGAGATTCAATCCCCTTCTAATCCGCTTCCAGACTCCATGTTCACGGATCCTAAGGATCCTGATTCTGGAGGATCCACTTCAAGTGGGGTAGGATCATCATTATAAGACTCCCCCCCCCTTTTCCTCTTCTACTGGCGTACCTGGAAAACGTTCTGAATTCAATCTTTGTTTGAAAATTAAATGTTGAAAAACAATCCAGAGGAAAACGATGACTTGATCTAAAATATTGGCAGGCTTCAGAATCCTTTCAAGGCTGAGAATTCAACGATCTGCATTCAAAACTGGAAAAGTCAGTTTTAAAACTTTTTAAACAGATTTTATTGTAGATATCGGAAATAATGTAAAAACTGTTTTGTTAAGCCCAGTCAATTAACATGTTATATGTCAGTTTATATTTTGTATGTACAATCTGTGATAAAAAAAACAGCAAGATAGATTCCATTTTATTTTTGTGTTTGAAAAAAAAAAATTTAGAAAAATGTTAAAATATTTTCTCGCAATTTTTGTTTCAAGTTGATTATTTTGATCTCCAATTTGTTACTTTTATTTTTATTATTTCTTAACACTTTTAAACAGCTGTAAATGTTACCAATATACTAAATTTATTCAGACATGTACAGTGTACACTTATCATTGATTTATTTATGTACTGCAGTACGCCGTATTAATGTTAAGCGTGTTTAGCATTTTAAACGTATATTTACAGAAAAATTACATTTGTATATTAACAAAAAACTCAGTGATCCTAAATTCGTGTTTAAAGTACAGTATAGTACAGTACAGTACAGTACAGTACAGTACATGTTTATATTACTACACTAGTCCTCGCTATTCAATAAACTAATTGTAATTGAACATTTAAAAATTCATGAAGCTGAGCTATAAGAGCAGAGGATGTTAGAATAAGCGCCTGAGCAAGTTTATCAATTGAGTTTATGAGTGAGTGAGGGGGTGAGTGAGTGAGTGAGTGAGGTAGTGAGTGAGTGAGTGAGTGAATGAGTGATTGAGTGAGTGTGTGTGGTAAGGTCTTGAAAAACTTATAGAAAGATTGAATCATCCATGGGTTACTTACAGAGACTGCAGAGACTACTGTACGGAATTTGTTTAGTCTTTATTCTTACATTCCCTCGACTGTAAACTTATTCTTACATTCCCTCGGCTTTAAACTTATTCTTACATTCCCTCGGCTGTAAACATATTCTTACATTCCCTCGGCTGTAAACTTATTCTTACATTCCCTCGGCTGTAAACTTATTCTTACATTCCCTCGGCTGTAAACTTATTCTTACATTCCCTCGGCTGTAAACTTATTCTTACATTCCCTCGGCTGTAAACGTATTCTTTTCTTTGTCAAAGAATTCAATAACCATTAACAAACATTCAAAGTCCTAACATTTATAGATTTGCAGGTCGTCCTTAAAGACTCATCCTTTGTGGGTAACCCTGTACGATCATAATTTAGTTAATAACACAGCAGGGAGTATATTTAGGCATTTATCTATCAAACATTCATATATCCATGTTGCCTACAAAGGAACACATCTTGTAAAGGCTAACATTCTTAGAATTTATTGGAAAAGGTCCTTATATGGTTATTTAAGGAACAAGTTTTCAGTTGAAGGAACCCTAGATTGTAGAAGAAAGACTTAAAATGAATTCCGTACAGTCGTCTCTAGAGAAGAGGAGCCAATAATGCGAAACCATTTAAATAGGAAACTTCTGTGATTATTTGCAATATTGCAGATCATAAATGTTATCGATTAGGGTTTTAAACATCTTTTTAACGCCCAAATATATATTTTCTTTTTCAATTTGGGAGTTCNATAATTAAGTGTATTTGTTACTCAACTCTCATCATGGTCTAAGGAAGCAATTTAAGGTAAAATTATAGGGCTGTGTTTAACCTATCCTACCCCCAATAAGAGAAGGAAATACTAGTTGAACCCCCCTCCACTATTTATCCTTGTAAATAAACGGTTTTAGTTTTTTACTTCTAAATTTTGGAAAGGTTTACCGCAAAAACATGGAGAGGGACTGAATTCGATATCTACAACCCTAGTGTAAAATATTATATTAAATAACTTAAAGGGACTGTAAGCCTAATTTCTGGTGACCCTTCATGCAAAGATGACAATGTTCGTTTCACAATTGTACCATTTTAAAACTTTACATTTTACTATCCGATGGTTAAATTTGGTCTTCTGCCTTGAATAAAGTCTAGGTACGTTTATACCTCTTGATTTGGGAAAAGAAACCGAGTTTAAAATGGCAAAGAATAATAACTATAAAACAAAAACTAAATTCATTCCCCNTGCATACTCAGTTCAACTACCTTACATAGCCGGTCACTCCCTTTAAATTTAAAAGAAAATAATATTAATAAATTCGAATATGCAACTTTAGTAACTTTTATATCACAATAAAACATGGTACAATAATACCCTTTTTTCCACGGAATGATGGTTGATCTTTTATTTAATTATTTATTTAAGTTCAGAATCCATGCAGATTTAAGTATAATTAGGGTACCTAGTACCTAAAAAGAATGGAACGTTAAAGACGACCTGAAACTCCTTAATTATGACATTTTCAAGGTTTAATTCAGTATTTTGCATTGAATATACAGTAATTTATAAGTTTATGTAATTATTTACAGTTGCTGATAATTAACAGACGGACTAAATAACGGAAAGTCGTCTTTGAAGTCTTTTGTTGGTAACCCTGTAGATGACTAGCTAGATAGATAGATAGAAAGATAAATAAAGGAAGATGAAAAAGTTTAACCGGATGCTGTCAAATAAACGAGAACTTCCAATTTGAACCTTGACGAACCCCATGAATCTAAATTTATATACATCTAATAAAAAAATGTAATAAAAATAATAATAACAAAATGATGACAGTAAATTGTTGATAATTATATGATAAAAGGACTTAATTTTTATGAATCCAGATAGATGTAAGGAATAACATTTACCCTTGCCCCCCCCCCCACCCTCAGTCGTGAGGGGAAAGGGAAGTCTTTCAAGGGTTGAGAAAGGGAAAGTTTTCTCAGGGTTTGAGGAGAAAAGGAAGTACTTTCAATTGTTGAGGAAAAAGGGAAAGTGCTCCTAATGGTTGAGGAAAAAGGGAAAGTGCTCCCAATAATTGAGGAGAAAGTGAGAGTACTTTCATTGGTTGATGAGAAAGGGAAAGTACTCTCAATGGTTTAAGAAACAGTGAAAGTCCTCCTGTACTCCTAATGGTTGAGGAGGAAAGGACACCTTAGGATTGAGAAGAAGGGGAAAGTACATACTCCAATGGTTGAGGAGAAAGGAAAGTACTCATAATGGTTGAGGAGATGAAGAACGTGCTCCCATTGCTCGAGCAGAAGGAGAAAGTGCTCCCAATGATTCCGGAGAAAGTGAAAGCATTCTCAGTGGTTTCAGAGACAGTAAAAGTTTTTCAGTACTCCAAATTGTTGATGAGGAAAGATAAGTGCATCTAAGGGTTTAGGAGTAGAGGAAAGGGATCCCAATGGTTTCGGAGAAAAGAAAACTGAAACCAAATGGTGGATGAGAAAGGGAAAGTACTCCCCATGGTTGATGAGAAAGGAAAAGTACTCCCAAAGGTTAAGGAGAAAAAAAAGTACTCCCCATGGTTGAGGAGAAAGGAAAATTACTCTCAATGGTTAAAGAGAAAAGGAAAGTACTCCCAATTGTTGAGGAGAACTGGAAAGTACTCCCAATGGTTGAAGAGAAAGGAAAAATACTCCCAATAAAATAATAAGGAGAAATAGAAATTACTTCTAAGGAGAGTAAAATAGTAAAAAGTACAAAATATTTCCAAGGATTGAGAATGAATTCAATCTGAAGTCTCTATTATCTATTTCAGAGTAGAACATAGAAAGGGAATTTTATCTCTATAAAAAGTGAAAGTATTTATTTACTAAAAATATGAAATGAGAAACCAAGAGGTTTAGAACCTGACGAAGGAACGGAATGAAAAGTAGGAGATTAACATCTTGTTATTTCTGTCAAAGGGGCGTAAACAGAAAAAACAGTGGAACGAGCATCCCTTTTCCTAGTTTATCAGCATTTTTCATCTTTTCCCAAGCAATGGTCACTGAGGCAGTCAGGCAGTCAAACAGACAGGCAATCAAGCAGTCCAGTCTAATAACTGATATTCAAGCATCTTATTTCATGCAAATTATATAGTCCACACCCCAAACTGTACAGTGAAAAAAATTGTTAAAAGTTTATTTGATAAAATTTAGGTGGATAGATATGCAGATTGATAGATAAACATGCAGATTGATAGATAAACATGCAGATTGATAGATAAACATGCAGATTGATAGATAAACATGCAGATGGATAGATAAACATACAGAAAGACAGATACACGTGCAGAGAGATAGATAAACATACAAATAGATAGATACACGTGCAGATAGATAGATAAACATACAGATAGACAAATATAAATACAGATACATAAAGAATGCAGATGGATAAAAGCCTACAGATAGACAGATAAACATGCAGGTGCACAGATAAACATGCAGGTACACAGATAAACGTGCAGGTACACCAATAAACTTGTTTATACACAGATAAACATACAGATAGATAGATAAACATACAGATTGATAGATAAACATACAGATAGACAGATAAACATGCAGATACAGAGATAAACATATAAATAGACAAATAAACATCTAGATAAACAGACAAACATGCAGATATAGAGATAAACATACAGATAGACAGATAAACATGCAGATTAATAGATAAACATACAGATAGACAGATAAACTTGCAGATTGATAGATAAACATACAAATAGACAAATAAACATCTAGATAGACAGACAAACATGCAGATATAGAAATAAACATACAGATAGACAGATAAACATGCAGATAAATAGATAAACATACAGATACATAGATAAACATACAGATAGATATATAAACATGCAGATAGATAGATAAACATACAGATACATAGATAAACATACATATAGATATATAAACATACAGATAGATAGATAAACATACAGATAGACAGATAAACACGTAGATACATAGATAAAAATACAGATAGATAGATAAAAATACAGATAGATAGATAAACATGCAGATAGATAGATAAACATACCGATAGATAGATAAACATACAGATAAATAGATAAACATACAGATAGATAGATAAACATGCAGATAGATAGATAAACATGCAGATACAGAGATAAACATACAGATAGACAAATACACATGCAGATAGATAGATAAACAGACAGATAGACAGATAAACATGTAGATACATAGATAAACATACAGATAGATAGAAAAACATACAGATAGACAGATAAATATGTAGATAAATAGATAAACATACAGATAGATAGATAAACATGCAGATAAATAGATATACATGAAGATATAAATATAAACATACAGATAGATAGATAAACATACAGATAGACAGATAAACATGTAGATACATAGATAAACATACAGATAGATAGATAAACATGCAGATAAATTGATAAACATGCAGATACTGAGATAAACATACAGATAGATAGATAAACATTCAGATAGATAGAAAACATGCAGATACAAAAATAAACATGCAGATACAGAGATAAACATACAGATAGATAGATAAACATACAGATAGACAGATAAACATGTAGATACATAGATAAACATACAGATAGATGGATAAACATACAGATAGATAGATAAACATGCAGATAAATAGATAAACATGCAGATACAGAGATAAACATACAGATAGACAGATAAACATGCAGATAGATAGATAAACATGCAGAAACATTGATAAACATACAGATACATATATAAACATACAGATAGATAGATAAACATGCAGATAAATAGATAAACATACAGATACATAGATAAACATACAGATAGATATATAAACATGCAGATAGATAGAGAAACATACAGATACATAGATAAACATACATATAGATATATAAACATACAGATAGATAGATAAACATACAGATAGACAGATAAACATGTAGATACATAGATAAAAATACAGATAGATAGATAAAAATACAGATAGATAGATAAACATGCAGATAGATAGATAAACATACAGATAGATAGATAAACATACAGATAAATAGATAAACATACAGATAGATAGATAAACATGCATATAGATAGATAAACATGCAGATACAGAGATAAACATACAGATAGACAGATAAACATGCAGATAGATAGATAAACATGCAGATAAATAGATAAACATACAGATAGATAGATAAACATGCAGATAGATAGATAAACATACAGATAAATAGATAAACATACAGATAGATAGATAAACATNTCCTGAATCCTAAATTCTAAATCCTGAATCCTGATAAAAAAAAATCCAGAAAAGGAGTTAAACCTCCATAGAAGGATGGATATTAAAAGGTCTCTCCGTCATAATGAATTTCCCTAAATGTGTGGTGTAAAGTGTATAATGTATATATAGGGTGGGGGTTGAAAGTTCACCCTTTAATGGCGTCATTTTTCACCAAATTCTCGAAATATTTCAAAGTGGGGTCAAAAATCCAGTAAATCATTCTTCTTGGAAATTTATTCGAAAAACTGTATTTCTTCAAGTTTCTCCATTCTAGATGATCGTGTGCTCGTTAGAATAAAAATACTCCAAAATTTGTATACAGCGTATATTTGAAAAAATGAAATCTGTATAAAACGTATATTTGAAAAAATAAATCTGTATACAACGTATATTTGAAAAAATGAAATCTGTATAAAACGTATATTTGAAAAAATAAATCTGTATACAACGTATATTTGAAAAAATGAAATCTGTATATAACGTACATTTGAAAAAATAAATCTGTAGACAACGTATATTTGAAAAAATGAAATCTGTTTACAACGTATATTTGAAAAAATAAATCTGTATACAAAATAAAATCTGTATACTACGTATATTTGAAAAACTGAAATCTGTATATACAACGTATATTTGAAAAAATGAAATCTGTATACAACGTATATTTGAAAAAACGAAATCTGTATACAACGTATATTTGAAAAAATGAAGTGATGAAAAAAAATTAATTACAAAAATCAAGACAAAATATTATTTCAGCCAAACTGTCAAATTTGACAGCGCACAATTCTCACATTTTATTTTGCAAAAAACAGATTGTCCTTTCAAGTTTTAAGAGACAAAACCCGAATTTGTATACAGTCTCTTTATTTTAAAGTTTGGGAACAATCTCTTTAAATTAAAATTCCTTCTGTATTTCTTGTTTCCATGGGTCCTAACTATTCTTGGTGTAGAGCTAGAGAAGTATGGGGGGTCCTTATTAAATATGGAATTGAGGGTATATTTAAAAAGACCTTCATTAAAACTAAGCACTATATTTTAATGAAATGGGACATTATATATGTATATATGTACACATGGCCAAAATTATAGAGTAAGGGCGCATATTTTTCCTCTAGAATTTATGCTTGCAATTAATTTACCTTGCAAATTTTTAGCACTTTCTGGTTTACAGATAAATCATACTTAGTATTTTATGCAAAAAATGTTTACGTCATTTAGCCCAACTATGAGCAGAAGTTTCATAAAGATAGATTTTGAAAGTCAAAAATTTCTCAATTTCTCTTTTAACTTTTAACTTAAATCTAGAACTAGTTTTAATGTTATGGCTCTAGATTATAAAATACGATGCTAAAACTATATAATTTATTTTAATATTTGTCCAAAGTACTTTTGGGATCTTTTTAACCTATCCTGCACCTTAATTATTAAAGTTAGAGGTGTAAAATGTTAAGGAATGAGATTTAAAAAGAGAAGGACAGATAGGGGATCGGGAGAGGGATATGAGGAAAGAATGGACAATGAAGGGAGAGGAAAATGAAGGAATGAGTGAAGGAGAAGTGGAGGAGAGANGGGAAGGTTTAAACTGTATATCAGGTTTCTAGATTCCAGATAAAAACATATTTTTAATCAAACTTTAAACAACAAAAATGGGAGTAACGAGAAACGCTAGATTTAATTATTAATTTTCTATTTTTCTTCTTCACTGCAATGGAATACGGAAGAAAGGTTTGTTTTTCTCCACATTGTTCATTTCAAACTAAGTTACACAAATGTCCTTGTTTCGCAAAAAAACGTGTTTTTATTATAACAAATTTTTATTAAAACTTAAATGAGTACATTTTTCAGTCATTGATAACTTGTAATTTGCACATATATTTAAATATCCTTTTAAATCTTTAATTCTATTTTCAATAAAATCAATTCATTGATTTAACAATAATAATTGATCTGTGACCTAGGCGNATTTGTAAAAGTATTGATCTCTGCTTTATACAGATATTTGTTAAAGTATTGATCTCTGCTTTATACAGATATTTGTTAAAGTATTGATCTCTGCTTTATACAGATAAATTTAATTTTGTCAACGAAGCCAGAAGGAACACTTACCTGAAACTGTAATTATATCTTCGTAACCTGATATCGTAAACCTTTAATATTTCAAACTTTAAATTTTCTGAGATAAAATAGTGGAAAAGATATAAGGATTAAAGTGTTCAGTTCTGTAAAATACATCTTGTATAAAGCCGAGGAAATAATCATAAATTTTAGAAATATTATTTTATAAAGTACAATTTGTATCGAAAACACAATGATAAGTAAAACTAAAAAGTGTTTATAGTGGTATAAACCCCTTTTATACTGCATTTCCGGAGAACTTAGGTCTTTCAAAGTAGAGTCAGTAAAAATTACGTTTACAGTCCCTTTAAGGGGACAAGAAAGAAATGAGTGGAAAATGCAAATCAAACCCAATAATTTGATAAACATGAGGGTTTCACTGTATTAGCGTTGCCCAGGTCTCTCATAGTTTCTCCCGCTGTTTACCCGCACAAGGTGTTAAATAACAATTTTAGTTATTTTTTCCCGATGGGTAGAGTGAGGGTAAGCTACTTGCAAGATGGTTCTCCAATGATGATCTCCTTCTGGTCAACAGTGTTGGTGGCATCCTGGAACTTGGCAACGTTGAAGCACTCCTGAAATTTTCCTGGAACAAAATCAAAATACACTGCATGAATCATGTGTAATGCAAGGATATAAAGTACACACATAGAATCTACATAATTTCTTATCTTGAGTCATACCAAGGTTGTAATGCAAGGAAAGTTATTTCAGAGGTGTACGCATCTTTTGTACTGCAGTGTACTGTCTCTGGGCGGTAATGTAAACACAAGACGGATGTCACAGCCTGGCATGGGATCCATCTTTCACATAAAAAATCAATGAAATATTCTGGTCATAGGAAACTATTAAGTGAATTATCAAAATTATTAAGATTCAATGCTTTTATCATCCTCGGATACTAAACGAACATTGATGCATTTATTCTTGTTAACAAATTCCGTCCAGAGAGAACTGGTTTCAATATTTACGTAGAGTATACCCAACTGCAATTAACTTTCCTTGCATTATAACCTTGAGTCATACTAGTAAAAGAGAGTATGACAGTTGCAATATACGCTTGATTCTACATAAATGGTATTATTGGGATATGAATTGGGACTTGGGAGGCGCTCAAAGTTAAGACCGTGATATCGATGTCTTTTTTTTAATAGGATAAAATTGTACCTTGTATAGATATTTATTCTGATATACAGGGTTACCCACAAAGAATGAGACTTCAGAGACGATTGTACAGAAAGTATACTGTCTAGTGTCTAGTCCCGTGTATTTATGATTCCTTGCAACTTTAAAGTTGTAACTTTCTTTGCTAAATCATAGAAAAGTTGTTAAACATTTATATTCAAGGCAGAAGTTTTAATTTTACCTTGGGATTCTCATATTTAGTTTTAGGTCGTCTTTGCAGTCTCATCCTTTGTGGGTAACCTTGAAATAGAGCATGTTATATTGATAAGTCAAACCTTACTCAATCCTAGCACGAGATTGCCCCCCTCCTCCCTCCTATTCGAACATTCAAGAGTGTACTTAATGATCATGATGTTCATTATGTTAACTCAAGAGTTGAGCGCCGTGGCTAGGACAGGCAGGGCCAGTGGGCCCAACGCTGCAACTAGAGCTGACAATTATAATATATTCAAAAGGTGTACATTTTTTTAGTTGGAGTGGGGGATGAACATAGATAAATAAATAAACAGAGATAGCTTATGTACGCAAAATCACCAAGAATTGTACAGTCCGCGAACTAGTACTTCTAGGGGTCAAANCCCCCACACTTATGAATTTGTCTTCAATGCTTAACCTTCAGCTTCTTTAACTTTCCAGGGGGGAGGGTCTCATAACCCCTTCGAATATGTTTACACACAAAAAAACAATATCTTCTTTATGTCATCTCAAAATGAGGTTTAGAAGGTATGGTCGTAAATGGGACATGTCATGCTCTTACCAGGGAGAGTTACTTGAAATTACCAACTGTTACGTTAAAAAAGACGTCATTAAAAATTCATTAAAATTAATCATTTGTTTGCGTTCCCGCTGATTGCAATGAAAGCTTATCATTTGACATTTAATAATTTTTCCCTGACATTTGTTTTGGTGCAAAAATTAGTAAAAAGGAAGAAACAAAAAATCTAAAAAATCTTTTTTTAAAAATCAGTCGTCAGTTATTTGATAAGATAAAAGGAAAAATAGTTTTAGAATAATTATTTTTTGTACTTTTTGAAAATGAACGATATTCATGTTTTTTTTGTTCCGGAATCCCAGATAAGAACAACATTACTTATTTAAGCTTTATCAATTGTCTTCTTCATTACTTCAAAAACTACCAACGCATTCTTTACTCAACATATTCACTAGGTTTGGTCTCAAAAATAATGTAATCTATAATTTTTTTCTTTTACTGAGATTGTTAAAATAAAAATTCAAATTTGTTTCCATTGAACTTGAAGATTTGTCCTAAGAGTTTCCCTTCATATTAACTTATTCTTATTTCTTAAAGGGACTGTAAGCGTACTTTCAAGTGACCTTCCTTTCTAAAATGTCAAGTTCAGATTCAAAACGTTACCCTTGAAACCTTCGACGGATCATAAGTAAGATTGCGGTATTTACTAAATAGAAAATCGGTTGAGAAAGTCGTTCAACGATATTTTTTAAATTTTCAATCTATATATAAATTTAACTTGTCTGTCTGGGTGTTTAATTTAGTGTATGTTTGCTTGTATCCAATAAACGTCAAAACGGCTGAACCGATCGGGCCCAAATTTTGCGCGAGACCTCATGTGACCCCAGGGAAGGTTTATGAATGATCAAAATTTTAAAAATTTGTATTTAAAAGTTATTTATTTTTGTAAAATTTTGAAAATGCGCGAAAACATAGTATGAAATCAGCAAATTTTTTTTTGTTTTTGTTTTATACTGTACAAAGAGAAGATGCTCACAGATAAAGCATCAATTAAAGAGAGGCGCCCTAAAAGCCTAGTTGATTTATAATTGTGAAATTAATGTAATACAAACTGTATAAATGGCAGACCCTCATCCTTGATATGTCGAAGTTTTAAAAGCTACCGTTGTGAATCTCAACTGAACTTATTTGCATGGAAGGTCATTTGAAATTACGCTGGCAGTCCCTTTAAGGTCGGAACTTTAGTGAGGCGTGTCGTTGATCTTGAACACTTGATCTCCATATGCATTTGGCACTTTTAAATATGAGGATCAATGCTTGATCCTTAAATTAAAGTTAACCCTGTAGGTTCTGACTACCATGGGATATCAAACAATTCGCCAATTTTTGCCCTTTTAATTTCAACTTTCTCAATTTTGATAAAAAAACACGGTCTTCTTTGACTTTTACGTCGTGTGAGGCCACGAAAAAGTGTGTTCAGTACATTTTTAATTGTTAATATAAACTCTTCCTTATTATTGGGTACTAGTTGAAGCGGCCGGCGTTGCCCGTTGAATTAAAAAATTATCTAAATCAGTCCAGCCATTTGGTCAGATACAGCTAACATTAATATATAATAGGAGAGAAGAGCTTTATTATATACAAAGGAACTGAGTTTTTGCCACAAACTTAAATGTTCGAATTCCTATATCTCTGCATCCGGATGGTTTAAAACTTGGAGATTTCAAACTTAGATTATTTGATCTAACAGAATTCATAGCTTCAAATATCAAAGGTCACCGACATTGGGTTAAAAAGATATAGGTATTGGAAAATTTGAGTTTGTGACAAAAACTCAATTCCTTTGTGAATACAATAGGACACTAATTTAAAAATCAATTGTTAAGCAAGTCCTTACAACACAATCACAAAATAAAGCTCAGATATCCTCTTTCTACCTTAAAAAGTGTTTAATTCTGACAACTTCCTCTGTTAATTTTGACGCAGGCAAATACAAATAAAGTAACTGCAATTAAAATTAATCAATTTTTTAAAGAAAATGTGATGCCTAGGATTTACAGCGAAATAAGGAAATTGTTTCGCATTTTTCGCGAACATTTAATTTTCGTCTTAAGATTTGCATTTTTTCCATTCCGTGCGTGGAAGAGGGGGGGAATGCAAAAAAGTTTGCAAAATACGAAAGAAATTTTGTCGCGAAAGTTTTTCCGCTGAAAACTTTAGACATGCCATTCTATGCCTGAAGAGTCTGTTGAAATTATGAAATTAAGTCTACAGTCCTTCAAGGAAGATGATTTTTGTCTTTCTTATTAAAATTAAATTACATTTTAGTCAAAATTCAGATATTTTTGAGACCAAGTTTATTGTAGATCTTGCTCAACAGATATGGAAGCAAAAATGATTTTTATTCTTTTTTGTGTCTTCGGACTGATGGCAGGGACACCGTTGAACATATATATTCAAGCAGAATCAACTACAACTGCAGGGATGAATACAACAACAACAGTAAAGCCAACAACTACTACTGAAAAGCCTACAACTACAACAGTCAAACCAACAACTACAACAGTAAAGCCAACAACTACAACAGTAAAGCCAACAACTACAACAGAAAAGCCAACAACTACAACAGTAAAGCCAACAACTACAACAGTAAAGCCAACAACTACAACAGTAAAAGCAACAACTACAACAGTAAAGCCAACAACTACAACAGTAAAAACAACAACTACAACAGTAAAGCCAACAACTACAACAGTAAAGCCAACAACTACAACAGTAAAGCCAACAACTACAACAGTAAAGCCAACAACTACAACAGTAAAGCCAACAACAACAACAATTAAGCCATCAAATTCAACTACAACAATAAAGCCAACAACTACAACAATTAAGCCATCAAATTCAACTACAACAATAAAGCCAACAACTACAACAATTAAGCCATCAAATTCAACTACAACAATAAAGCCAACAACAACAACAATTAAGCCATCAAATACAACTACAACAATAAAACCAACAACTACAACAGCAAAGCCAACAACAACCCCAACAAGTAACTCTTCAACAACAGTACTCTCGTTGTTCCTTTTCGCTGCAGCAATTTTCATTTGTTTGTAATAAACTTTTTCTTCCTGAAAGAGAATTTAAATGTAATCTAAAGCGACCGTTCATTTAAAGACGGGCCCGATTCACAACAGTTCCCTTTAAACTTTTGTCTGAGTAAAAATTATGAAAATATACTTGACATCTTTCTGATAATTTAAAATTACCAATTGTGGGTTTTCTTTACTGGATGCAGCTCCTGTGAGTCAGGCATGCAGAACTTACGCTAACAGTCCCTTTGAACAAATGATAAATAATAATGTATGTTTTTTATTCGAATATGAATAATTTGAAATAAATATCACTTTATGCCAAGAACATGGTCTGGACGAGAAAAAGCCAATTTAAAAACAAGATGAGAAGAATGATTATGACTTGTACTAACTATTAGAATTTTGTCTCGTCAAACAAATTATAAATATAAATGTTAGAATAAATTGGGTGTGGAACTTTTGCGTAGTAACCTTAATTTTGAATGTTTGATCTCGATATCCAATGTGCAGGGCACTTTAAAATTTGAGGATAAATGCTTGAGACTGCAATTATTTTTATCCGTATTTCATCATCCTTGACATACAGTTGTTTATAAGTGAATTACGCATAATTAAGATTACGCATGTCTCTTGGCTTTTGTCATAAAAATTAACTTAAGTGTAATATCTTAATATTTGTTCTACTTTTAATATGTTGTTTCTTACTTTTAAATTTAAAAAAAAAATTACTATTGGAATTTAGAATATGTTTACAATAACATTTTTTCTTCTAACCCGTTGTGAGTAAAAGTTGAAACCGAAATTTCAAATTTCTGCGTTTACATGATTAAAGTTTAGTTTCAAAACGATTTAGTAATTGAAATCTTAAAACAAAAACCAACGTTTGTACTTTGTTGAGGAGTTTTATTCTTTATAAACTTTAAATGCAGTTTACACACTATAAGAAATCCTCAGTATTCCACGAGAGGGGGGAGATTTATGTTGCAGGGGAAAATGGGAGGGGTATTTATTTTACACGAGAGGAGGGAAGGGGGTTAGTGGGCAGTTTTTATACAGGTGATATTTTGCAATTGTATACTTACAGTGACACATTAACTACTGAAATCATTCAAAAGATGAAAAGAGGGACATGAAAGGGTAGGGAATGAGTAGAACTAGGACATAAAGCGAGGAATATGACGGGAAGGGAGTATTGATGGAACGAAAGGGGAGTAGTCAGAGGACGGGAGGAAAATAACAATTTAACAGGAACTGTTCCTATTTCTGTTCCTGTTCCTGTTCCTGTTCCTGAAAATGGCACGGGAAGGGAACGAAAAGACGGGATCGAATGGAGCATTGATTTGATGGGAGGGGAGTATTTAAAGGACGGGAAAGGAGCAGTGAAGGACAGGAAGGGAGTAGTGTATGACGGGAAGGGAGCATTGATTTGATGGGAAGGAAGTATTATAGGACGGGAAGGGAGTATTGATGGAGTGGAAGAATAGTAGTCATAGCCTCATAGGACGGGAAGAGTATAGTAAAGTACGGGAAGGAAGTACATAGTATTTGTACGAAAGGGGCGAATATGCAGGACGGAATGAAATTTGTTTACAGATAAACAAAAAAATAATTTAAAAAAATGTCTCTATATGTGAAAGTTTATCTCCTCCTCATATACCCCCCCCCCCCCGTCTGATACCGGGGTAGGCTACATAATAAAAGATTAATTGAGGTCAGATTTTTAACACTTGGCTGATGTAAATCTCCCCCTATACATTTCAGTTTTTATAATGGAATGTGTCAACTTGTTGAATCAGTTTTAAAAATCTTATTTCATCAGTTTATGTAGATTTCTATCTACCTAGTCATCATCTATCAATCAATTAATCATTATTTATATCTTATATAGTATGCATATCCTGAAGAATGTAAAGCATGAATCAAAATGTTGATTCAATACAAATTAAAATCATGTGTTGAAGATATTTTTTCTTATAGCTAATAATCTATTTGAATAACATGTAATAGTATAAGTCCCATATCTACATTAAATTTTTACAAACTCATCCAAAAACAATATAATTAAAAGACACTTTACAGGGTGCTCTGAAAAAAGTGTGTTTAGGCTTTTTAGCAAACTTAACAGCGTTGTTTTGTGTTATAAAGTTCTCTTAGAAGGTAAAAATATCTTAAATGGGGGGCCGTCGATGAAACATTTTTCTCTGAAATGCCGAATTAACCTTCAAAAGTAGGCATAATATTCGAAAATACGCTCGGTCCCAATTCCGAAGAAATTTATTAAGTCGTTTTATTGAACTAAAAAGTGTTACCAATAGGTACAATTCNGGGTTCGTCGTTGAAACATTTTGCTCCAAAATGTCGTTTTAAAGATTAAGATATTAAGTGCAGATTCAGGATTCAAGGTTTCCGTTGTGAATCGGGCTCGATTATATTAGTGGGTCAAATGATATATCGACGACAGTCGCTCTATCTTCCCTGTTCTGTTATTTTCAAATGTGATCTGTCTCATCTCTTCAAATATTTTCTGAAATGTCGTCTTCCTATTCCATAGCGTTTTGGACCTACTGCAGTAATAAATTAAACCAAAAATATTGTAATATCAAATATCTTATCAACCATTTTTAATAATACAATTTGGAAAGCTTTTAACTTTTTTTCTTGAACAATAAATGATTAAAGATTAAAAAGACTATCTTTCAATCATCTCTCAATCCTAAGGCTTAAAGGATCTTTCCCCCTGTACAGTGAAACCAGCTTTTGGTGAAACAAAACTGTTCGTGGAACCTTCTTTCTTAATTTCCTGATCCCTAAACCCCGATTCATTGTGCCCCTAAACAACCCTTTATACCTGAACTTTGACCCCTAAACAGTTCGACTCTTCTCACAGGGTCTATTATTATTTATTTTGTCGGTATTAAAAGAGATATTTGACCGAAAATGTGGGAAAATCTTGAAACAACATTTAGCTGACAACTTTTTTACAAAAATCAGTTTCCGCCATTTATGAATAAAAAAATCTATATTTATTTCATCTGTGCATAGTTCAATCAAAAATTTAGCTTGACAGCTAAATATGATAAGGTCATAACTTTTGGAGTGGAGTATTGTTAATCTTGATATCTCGATATCCAATACAGGCACTTTTATATTTGAGGATAAATAATTGATCCCTTCATTTTAGTTAAACCTGCTGGGTAAGACCATCCAGGAATATCGAACAGAAATTAAATTGATTTGTAAGTCTGAATAAGATGAAGATCAATGCTTGATCTAGAGATTAACAAAGTTCTAACTTCTGTTTAGATCAGTTCGATCGTTTGGAATTAGGGCGCTTCTCGATAACCTTTTTTTTAAACTAATGATACTGCATTAAATATTCTGGACATAAACACCATTTTAAAGTGGAATATTTGATCCTGACCAAACATTTCATGTCTCATGTTTTTATGGACACACTGTTTAATGCAAACTATTTTAAGAACACACTGACATTTATAGTTCTCTTTTAACTTCAAGTAAACTGCAATCACTAATTTTTATTCTAAACCAATTTCAAATTTCTAATAAGCTGAAATTTACCAAATGATAAAAAATTTAAAGTGCATTTTTTCCGAAAAAATTAAGTTTAAAAAATGATCAAATAAAACAAAAATATTCTGATTACATTAACAAGACGATCTAGGACGATTATAATTCAAAACAATGCGATCCAAACCTATTCATTGTGCAATCTTCTCATGACTTTAAAAGGCGACCCTTTCTCCACCCCCGTCCCTTTCTTCTTGCTCCGTCAAACCACAGCCCTAACTTCTAATTTTTCTTTCCCCTCTTTCTTTTTTCTCCACCCACCCATCCTCTTGTGAGCTACACAGACATAATCTATTCCTTGAAACTTAGATCCGTCCTGCATACCTCTCCAGGTATATACCATCACTACATAGAAACCAATTTAGGTTTGGTCACGAGCACTTGCATATTTATATATCCTGCTCCAGGTTCAATCTTCGGAAAAGTTTACTCCAGGTAGGGGATACAGCACAGGATTAGGGTTAACCTGGAGTACGGAGTTAGATCTACACCTTTCTCCAGAACTTTTAGCTATTTAAATTCGTCCATTCATATATTATCCGGATCTGTTTCATTCATATATTATCCGGATCTGTTCCATTCATATATTATCCGGATCTGTTTCATTCGGTTACGCTCCCCCCTGGCGGTAAAGTCCTCAGACGCTGTCTATTTTTTTAAATTTCTTGTTAGTTTTACTAGATTTTCTGTAGATACCCAGAATTAAGATTAAATCATTCAATCACAAGTTTACGCTGGCTAAGCGATATCTTATCCAAAAGTTTTATTTTAGGACCTTTTAAAAGTTGCATCCTCAGGACCCTTTTAAAAGTTTTATCCCCAGAACTCTTTTAAATGTTTTATCCTCAGAACCCTTTGTAAAGTTTTATCCTCAGAACCCTTTATAAAGTTTTATCCTCAGAACCCTATACAAAGTTGTATCCTCAGAACCCTTTTAAACGTTTTATCCTCAGAACCCTTTTCCTCAGGACCCTTTTAAAAGTTTTATCCTCAGAACCCTTCTAAAAGTTTTATCCCCAGAACCCTTCATAACGTTTTATCCCCAGAACCCTTTTAAAAGTTTTATCCTCAGGACCCTTTTAAAAGTTTTATCCTCAGGACCCTTTTAAAAGTTTTATCCTCAGAACCCTTTATAAAGTTTTATCCTCAAAACCCTTTTAAAAGTTTTATCCCCAGAACTTTTATAAATTTTTATCCAAAGAACCCTTTTAAAAGGTTTATCCTCAGGACCCTTTTA